GGGCTCGGCATGAGGCTGGCACGACTGCTGCGCGGAGCCGCCTTGGCCGGCCCAGGACCGCGCACCTTCCGCTCCAGCGCCAGCAGAAGCCTCACCTCGGACTCTGGCTCCGGCCCGGCGCCTGAACGGGGCGTTCCGGGCCAAGTGGACTTCTATGCGCGCTTCTCGCCGTCCCCGCTCTCCATGAAGCAGTTCCTGGACTTCGGTGAGTGCGGCCCGGGCCTCGGGCCTTTGTGCGCCGCCCCTCTCGCCTCTGCGCACCCCTCTTCCTCAACGTTCTCCCTCCCCCCTCCCCCAGCCTCTTGGGTGCTTCTTTTCTCCCTCGCAGGCGGATCCCTATGCTCAGGTGCAGGAGCCGGCAGGCCGGGTCAGTAACGGGACGTGTGTTGTTTTACTGTGTATTGTTGAAAACGAACCAGGTGGGCCTCGAGCGCAACGACTGCCTGCCTTGCAGCGCACGTGTGCGGATCCTCGCTGGCGGCCAGGCCCCCTCTGAACAACAGCGCCCCGGGGAGAGGCAGTGTGTGCACCCCTCCGGGAGTCTTGTTCAGATTGTGCAGAGTAATGATAAATGCCCCTTTTCGTATGATAATTGCATAAAATTGGCATGGAGATAGGGGAAGCAGGTTATAACTGGCCTGATGTTTCATAGAATGTTTTTGTTGTCACTGGCTGGAGTGTTTCCACCAATAGCACGCTCATTTCATCATCTGCAAATGTCTTGAGCACGTGTTAAGTGCATGAGTACAATATGCTGGGTTTTACCGCATTTCACCCCTGTAGAAGCGACTATCTACTTTTCTCATTCTTTAATGGATGCTAACTAGTTTTCTCTAGAAAGGATGCAACAAATTGCAGAGAAATTGCAAAGTTTGGCTTTTAACTTTGACTTCTTATATGGGGGCGCTGAGGGGGAAAGGGAAGACTAATAGACTATAACAAAATCATAAACTTTGAGTGGAAAAAGTAATCCTTTGCACTGTGAGTGCTGTTTGGTCACTAACGGATCACTAGTGGGCTTGAGACATACCAGCATGGTTGGCAACTTTATCTTAAAATTGTGGTTTACAGTGCCAAATTTTTTTGGCTCAAAGCCCGCGGTTTTTGTTTTTACTTTAAAATAACTGGTGTGATTAAGGAGTGAATTTGGCCTTGTTCACAAGTATGGCATTCAACTCTCACAAGAAAATGTTTTCCTTTATTACCGTAATTCCTGCTATTGATAGTCTAATTTTTGCTAAAGTTGTCTTGTTGTAACAGCAAGATTAAATGAGTGAGTTTAAAATGCATTGCAGAAATAATATGACTCTTTAGTTTAACTTAAATGGAACTGCTTGCCAAAGGATATTCTTCAATTATTCTGCTTAGCATCCTAAGGAGTGGAGGAAGGAGCAGGCTGATTTCCAGGAATCAGACAATTAAATAGGACCTCCTGGGGAAGACGTGGGAAGATGGTTGCTAAACAGGCATTGGTATTTTTTGTTTTCTGTTGCCTGAAAGCCTTTCTCTACATTTACTCTTTGCTTAACAGTAGTTAGTATACTGGTTCCTATGCACATGTTAAAATTTCTGTTTCTTAGACAAAGTATTACTTCTTATAAACCTAGAGTTAGGAAACAAATGTTCTAAATGATAATAGCAGCAACAGATTGTATAGGTTTTACAGGTCGTACTGTTAAATAAACTCTGCACCTTGCTCAGATTTGCTCAGATTGCCTTAGTTCTAAAACAGATCACAGTAAGGATGAAAGTAATGGAGACTACCGTAAAGTAGTTTTATTTCTCTGCAAAGCGATTGCAATGTCAGGAATTAGAAGGTCATTCAGGATGCCTCGCAGCCCTAAAGACTGGGTTATCTCATCCCTTTCCTCCTCTTCCTTACTTACCCTGTCATTATGGTGAAACTATCCCTCTGATGTTTCTGGCCAAATAACTCCTGTGTTTCTCCCTGCCCCTTGGCTTCTGCCTTATGGCTTCCACTTACTGCTGTTTCCACCGTGTCTGGTTTCAGGATCTGTGAATGCTTGTGAAAAGACCTCATTTATGTTTCTGCGGCAGGAGTTGCCTGTTAGATTGGCAAATATAATGAAAGAAATAAGTCTTCTTCCAGATAATCTTCTCAGGACACCATCAGTTCAATTGGTACAAAGCTGGTAAGATTCTCTTCTTGTGTTTGCAATTTTGATGGAGTTGTGGACTTTACTGAAGGTTAAAGCAAATACCTTTTTACTCTTTAGTGGAATCGTAAGGTAGTAGCAACATTCTTCCTCTCTTTTTGGGGTGTCTGGGTTTATCCTCCGAATCCTGGATTCTATAACTGCTTGGTTTTGGGGAAACAAACAAACAAACAACAACAACAACAAAGACCAACCAGAACTGCACAGAAATGCAGACACTAAATTTAAGATTTGTGTTATTAAAATCTGCAGATGTTATATTATAATAATATCTACCATTTGTTGAAGTGAGAGATTTATATATATTACCTTTAGTCCTTTCAACAGCCTTGCCCAATAGACATGATTATCTCTGTTTTACAGATGAGAAAACTGAGGTACCTACAGGTTAAGTTCTTTGCGTAAGGCAATACCACTCATAGTGGAATTAGGATTCAGACCTAGATTTGTTTCTACTATAGCATGCTGTAGTCAGAATGATGAAATGTTTTAAAGGCTGTATTTATTTTTATAAACTGAATTTATTTGAAGTAGATCTCTATGTCACAAAAGTTAAAATCTATCATTTTTTAAACAATTAGAAGTTATGGGAATCATGTAGAAACTGTGATCTCTCTTTCAAAAAGATGATAGTATAGGTATGAAGGGTATGTACACATGTGGCCACCTACATACAGCCTTTCTTGTTAATTTAACAGTTATTCTCTTAATCACTATGCATTTCAAACAGAAGAGTTTGCCAGAGTTCAGTCTTAAATGGAAAAAATTTAGCTGCAAGACATTTCTCAGATATGATTCCTGGAGATACTTGCTTTCCTTTTGTAGGCATTATAATTTGTGCAAGAAGCTGATCAATTTTAAAAAGTAAGCGAAAGAAATATGACTGCTATATACAGTTGACCCTTGAACAGTGAGTGTCTAAACTGTGCGGGTCCACATACATGTGGATTTTTTTCAATAAATACAGTAGGTTATTTTCTCTTCCTTATGCTTTTCTTAATATTTTTCTCTAGCAGTAAACTTCCTTTATTGTAAGAATACAGCATAAAATGCATATAACATACAAAATATGTGTTAATCAGCTGTCTATGTTATTGGTAAGGCTTCCAATCAACAGTAGGCTGTTAGTAGTTAAGTTTTTGGGGAATCATAAGTTACACGTGAATTTTTGACTGGGGTGGAGGGGCCGGGAGTCTGCGCCTCTAACCCACGAGTTGTTCAAGAGTCAACTGTGTATGATAATCAGATGCTGTCTAGTCCAAGTATAGAACAATTGTAAATGAGGTTTAAGTAAGAGACATTTGTTTAGGAACTATGATGGAATATAAAGGAGAACATAGTTTTCTCTGGAGGCTTTTTCTTGTCGTTTTTAATACTTCATTAAAAATGACATATATTGCATTTTGAAACCCGATCTATTCCTAACACATTATAAGTATTCATATCTCTCTTGGATAAAAGCATAGTTTTTCCTGCTAATGAAGAAAGAGTTAAGGGTTAAAGCAAAACAGCAAATATCAGAATCACTTGACTTTGGAACGCAAAGAGGCATATGGCTTATCAGGAATAGCTTTCCAAACCAGGGTATGGATTCACAGATTTTTTAAACGCTTTCATTGCTCCTGGATGCCTGCTGAGTTAGGGCAGTTAAGCAGACCTTACACTCTTGAAGGTCAATAAGTGGTAGCAAGGCGTTTTTAGCTCTGGCCCTACAATGCCATTGTGCTTGGTAGCATGACCTTGAGAAAGTCATTTGGCTTTCCTCTGTTTGATTCTTCCTTAACAGGTGATTTGCTACCAAAAATTGTTAGACAAATTTAAAAACCTACATTTTCATGACTGTTGTGTTTTCGTTCAGTTCTGTTTAAAAGAACTATGTGGCAGATTGTATGCTTTCAACGAATCTTTGTGGTTTGGACATAGACATTTAAAATTAAGGTTTTAAAGCACAGTGATTTAAGTTGGAATCTTAGACCAAGGTGGACTGGGCTCCACGTTTTACTAAGACAAGTTAAGTCACTTGCCCATGGTCACATAGTTACTGGTGACAGACTCAGTTCTTATGACAATCAGTTTTTATACTGAAATGTACAGTGGTAAATTTAAGGAATTTAAAAACTATTTTGGAGTATAGAAGTTTTAAAAAAATAAGGGCGGTAGGAAATCTTAAAATTCTTCAGTCAAATTTAACCTATGCTTTTAGGAGAAAATGTGCACTTTCTACTACTTTGTGTCAGGCACTGTGCTCAAATGTGAATGGGTATAAGAATCCTACTTCAACCATAATTTATAGCACTATTCTAAATTAAAAATTAAGAAGAGTTAGAAGTACCTTTTCAGCTTTTTCCCCGATATTGAGCTGTCAAAATGTAAAACAAACAAACAAACAAATTTACCCTGTTGATTTGCATTTTAGGTATATCCAGAGTCTTCAGGAGCTTCTTGATTTTAAGGACAAAAGTGCTGATGACGCTAAAACTATTTATGAGTAAGTATACTATTTTGATCCTATTCTGAACACAATTTTGTGCCCTTTAAACATCATTTAAAAAATAGAAATGTATTGAACTTAAACCTGCTATTGGGTCACTTTAGGGAAATTAATTAAGTTATTATAAGTTTCCCACTACTCTAGAACATATGGTAGTATATTTATCTATATCAGCCCTTACAGGCAAGGCAGGTAGCATAAATCAATAAATTGGGCTGGGAATAAGAAACACTTCATGTTCCTCTGAACTCCAATGTAAGAAGGACATAGGTCTAATGTGATATCAGTGGAAATCTAGATGTGGCCTCAGTGCCACTGTGATGAAAGGGGACTGGTAAGGACTGTTCATTTGGAGAGTGCATGCATCTAAAGGACAGCCATCCTTAGCTCCAGCCGATCATTGCCATGCAGAAATGCTGCCCAGATCAAATGATTATTTGGGTGTGTATTTAAAGAAAAGCTCAACTCCAGATTTTAAATGTAAAATCTCCCAATTTTGAATGATTGACAACTGATTAAAAAATTTTTTTAAATACTGAAGGTCTATAAAAACATGTAAAATCTTCTAAGTTCGAATGATTGACAACTAATTAAAATTTTTTTTAAATACTGAAGGTCTATAAAAGCATGTCTATGGGTCTCTAGTTTATAACCTGTGGTCTGTAAGATAATGTAAGTAATATGATCAATTTAATAACCAGCATATCAGAACTGATAGACTCAAGTAGTACCCTCAGGCAGTTACCTGCTTATTCCAATGGATGTTGCTCAAAAATTGAAGACTACCTCTTTTGTTGTCTTCAGTCTTTTATACATTTCGACTGTCTTTAAAGGTGATGGCAACACTTCATTTTTTAAACACGATTTTAGCCAGAAAAATAACATCACGAATTTACTCTGTGCCTAGGTATGGAGCACACTGTATACTAATGATGTTATTTAATTTTTAAAACACCTCTATTGTGATAATGCTATCTGTGCACAAAGAAGTTAAGTAATTCAAGGTAACATTAAGATCACATAACTAGCAAATGGTAGGACCAGGATTAAAGCAGTCTTACTTAAAAGTAGACATTATGCTATAGAACCTCCTAGAAATGGTTAGTAATTCAGAGCCGTCAAGCAGAATAATGCTTTTTGGAGTTTTAAAACAGAGAGAAAAGTGAAATAAACTAATAATAAAGGGGTAACTAGATATGATGAGTTGTTTGTTGTTTTTGAGGAGTTTTGTTGTTTGTACTTTGGATTAACAGTTTGATTTTGAAGCTAATCACAAACTAGGAATTCCAAAAATGTTTTTAGCAATGAGAGCATCATTGGAATAAATCAGTAATACTCAAGATGATGTCTTTGAATGGAAAAGCCTCATTTGAGAAAGTGTAAATTCTGATAGGTATGTTACATGTTGGATTTCCTCGCTTCATAATTGACTTATTTTCTCATTTATTTAGTTCTTTAAATTACTCATGCAAGAATATCTTCTAGATGACAGACATAGGAAGGCTGGATGATTTGAAAATTTTTCTTTTAACTCGACAGTTGACTTTTCCTTTCCCATTTTAAAACTTTTAGGATGAACAAAATTAGAATTCTTTCCCACTTTCCTGTTCTAAGTGGTTCTTGCTGTCTTTGAACCCTAGGGAATAATTCCAAAACAGACAGGCTTTATTGGCTCATTCATCTTCATTCCTTACGGAGCAGAGCCTGTGTTCCCTGCAAGCAAGTGCTCTGTCTTCTCTTATATTGAGTGTCCCTGGACTACCAAACTCATAGCAAGTGCTCAGATCTTAGTTGATAATGGATAAAGAAACTCGTTACATTCTTAGGATTTTGTTTTGTTGCAGCCTTTTAAGACTTCCAAGAAAATAATTAAATTTAAAAAGCTTTATTTTGGAGGTCCTTACAGCTTCACAGAGGTGATATATTTTATGATCCGAAATATATTTACGTAAGTGTAGGAAAACATGCATTGATGCTCCTTTTGCTGAATTAGAGATTTCTTGCCTAGTATAGTTGATTAAACTTAGATTTTAGTATTAAATTTACTTGTCAAAATATTTGGCTGTTTTGAGAGACAGGTTTCTTTAGCTTTACAGATACTGTGATACGGATCAGGAACCGACACAATGATGTAATTCCAACGATGGCTCAGGGTGTGATCGAATACAAGGAGAGCTTCGGGGTGGATCCTGTTACCAGCCAGAATGTTCAGTACTTTTTGGATCGTTTCTTCATGAGTCGCATTTCAATTAGAATGTTACTCAATCAGCACTGTAAGTGTCCGGAAGTCAAGAGAAGAAGCTAAATAAAACGTGTTGGTATATTTTATTTAAAAAACTTCCCTTTAAGGAGAACATTAATTTTACTTTTTTTGCATATTAAGAAAAGTAGTCTGCCATACAAAGAAAGTATTTATACTGAATGTTAAATACTATGTTTACATTTAAGGAAAACATTTGTTAATATGTTTGGTACCATATAGAGAAACAGTATTCAAATCTGGAAAAGGCATTGGATGTTTTAGCTAATTTTGTTTGTTTTTAAATATTTTATTTCTTGATAGCTTTATTGTTTGGTGGGAAAAACAAAGGAAGCCCATCTCATCGAAAACACATTGGAAGTATAAACCCAAATTGCAATGTAGTTGAAGTTATTCAAGGTAAAAACTTACATTTTTCCTTTCAGAAAGGATGCAGAAATCATCGTGTTCTTGCTATTAAAATAACTATCATGAGATAAAAGGTTAGGAGCAAATGTATGGGTTTGCAAATAGCTTTATCATGTTAATTATTCCTTATGTATAGGGTGAATATTTTGTTGATACCACGCTTTATTAGGCAAAGTACAGTGATACTACACTTTTCTTTTCAAAAATTTCAAGTCCTGCCCCTTTCTAATTCCTTATACCAGGAGCCATAATTCATAATATTGCATCTTTTCACACTTTTCTGTTTCTACCATTCTCATACACATACACAATTATTGGTCTTAACGTTGTTTTTGAAAATGGGATACTCTATGTTTATTTTAACACAAGTTTATAGACATTGTATGTTTTCAGTACCTTTGCATATACTCCATGTTTTTGAATGGCTCTATGGATATATAAGAATGTATTAATTCATCCTCCTGTCGATGCATGTTTAGGTTGTTTTAATTTTTTCTTTTATCAACAGTACTGCAGTGAACATCTTTAGATGGCTACTGACTTTTGCTAGTTTTTTAGAAGTCAAGGTTCCTAGAATTAAAGCATTTAATATACATTTAAAATTTTGCTACCCCCCAAAAAACATCAAATAATCAAACAATAACCCTTCACCAACTCTAAATGTTTGTTGTATATATTGTAAATAGTTTCCTTAGTCTGCTGTTTTTTCTTTCTTTTTCTTTTTTAACTTTCTTTATGGTGTCTTTTTCTATACAGATGTTTTAAATTTTTGGTAATCATAGCTGTTATTTTTTTCTTTATGGCTATTAGGCTTTGTCATGCCATACTTAAAAAGACCTTCCCTAAACTAAGATTGTTAAAGTGTATTTTCTTCTATAGAAAGTTTTAAAATCTCATTTGTCAATACTGCTGTCATCTTAATGCATGTAAACTTAATGCTTTTTTTGTTTTGATTCATACTAGATGGCTATGAAAATGCTAGGCGTCTATGTGATTTGTATTATATTAACTCTCCCGAACTAGAACTCGAAGAACTAAATGGTAAGCCTGATGTTATCTTTTCCTCAATGATCAGTGTTATGATTACTTGAGAAAGAATTATAGAATTTAGACTCGTTTTAATATAAAAAGATTTTTCATCAACTACTTCATGAGATATGAAAGCTGAGGGAGAGCAATAATGTTAAAAAGTATGTGTGTGTGGGGGGTGGTGTGTATAGTTCGTTGGATTCTTTCTGAAAGACATTTTAGCTATTTCTTCCCCATTTTTCTTATTTTTAATTGATAATGTTGATTCTTTGCTTATCTTTGGTTTTCTAGTTAGTTATAGAAAAAAATGATGCCAAGAAAATTACATTTGACTTTTATATACGCTTCAGTAATATAAGGTTTATCCTTTAAGATTTTTAATTCCTGAGTTGTAAATCACTTTTTATTGTTAGGGAAGTAAAAAGATTGGAGGCGTAAAGGAGAGAAGATGCTCATTTATTTAAGAATCCATTTATCTCTTATGGTTTTTTTCACCCTTGTTTAGTGCCTTTTGGACAAAAAAGGTTTAGATACCTTGGAAGATTGATGAGTCTCACTGTTTTTCCTACAGCCAGGGTAGTTTGGTGGAGGTAAAAAAACATTTCCTAAGTTAACATGGCCCTTTAATAAGAATAATATTAAACAGGCTTTAACTCAGTCATATTCTGGACCTTATAGTGAGAGAACAATGGAAGAAGTTACCCAGTTGAAAATAGATTTGCTGGGTGTTTTTTTAAAGCTATATTAACTCTTTTGGTTCATAATGGCACCAGTCATTAAATAAGAATCACAGTGTATAAGTGATAGCTTGAGAACCTGAGCTACTGTGAGCAGTTCCCAGATATCCCATCCATGTTCCCAAGGAACGGTTTATTCAGAGGAGAGTCCAGTTTATTGGCTGCATTGGAATCCTAGGGTATGGTGAGTCTTAACTCCTTTGCTCTGCCAAAGGCTCTGTTTTACATACTATCTGCCCCCAAGCCCTACCGGGGCTCCTATTAAATGTTTGAGTGTAAAATTAGCATTCCTTGATAAATTGATACTAGCTTAAGTATCATGTTTTTCTAAAACAGAAGACGTTCTACCTGGGTGAAACATTTAAAGAATGGTTAAAAAAAAAATGTATATGAGTTGACCCTTGGAATTTATATAGACTGTAACACTTTTTTTTTTTTGAAAGTAAAATTCTGACCTTAAGGTTCATGTCCTTTAAAAAGACCATCATAGAGAAGAATGTGAAGATGGGTTGGTTAGATTATTATGCAGGATTGCAAGAATGACTACGGGACTCATATTGTCACCATCAGTTATTAATCTAGGTGAGCATGGGGTTCAAACACTAATACAGTGAAGAACTGGTGTGGCAATTCTCTCCCAAATGATGCTATCCTCCATAGTAAATGTTTTCTTTTCATCGCTACACAATATATTCTTTGAAATGCTTTAAGCACATCTCTCTGTACTTTTATATTTTTTTCTTCTGCTCTGTAGCAAAATCACCAGGACAGCCAATACAAGTGGTTTATGTACCATCCCATCTCTATCACATGGTGTTTGAACTTTTCAAGGTTTGTAAAATAGTATTACATAACCTTTATCAGTCCTTTCCTGAGGTTAGGAGTCTGTTCTGGAAGTTACATACTCTATTGTCGTTTCCTCAGTTTCATTAAAAGATGTCATTTCATGTTGAGTATCATGTCACATTGCAGGAGATCAGCCTTTTGTCAGCACTGATCGGAACCTCAGTGTGTTTGTAAGTTCAGACTTGGGAGTCAGAAAGACCTCGTTTGAATTCCAGTTCTGCCACTTAAAATGTGTGACCTTGGGCAAGTCATTCAACCTTTCTGAGCCTCAGTTTCCTCTTCTGTAAAATAAAGATAATATTATCCAAGTTATTATGACAATTGGGAATAACATACTTAATGTCCAGTACAATGGTAGCACATTATAGGTGCTTAATAAAGTTATGTTTATGTTTTTATGAAACAAAATATTTAGAAGAATGATTCTCAACTTTCTACCCTTAATGGACCACACTCCCACTGATGTATGCTTTTTTTCAGAAAGTCATTTATATTGACTTACAGGGCTTCTCATGTTACATTTACTCTTCACAACAATTTTTGAAAACTAAATTATGCTGGTAATGTTGAGAATACTTTTTTTCCCAACACACTTGCTGGTAGACAGGAAAGTGAGTGATGAGGAGTGGTATGATACCCTAAATCAAGCCCGTAGTCTCTCTTACTTTAGTTAACATGTCTTTACCCAGCAGCAAACTAGAAGAGGGAAGAGGTGGCTTTCAGCCTGATCACAAAAAAGAAAAACACACTGAAACAGAGAAAAACTGACTGAATGTCTTAGAACAGCAAGAGTTCAAGAATACTCTTTTATGCTAATATAGCAAGAACATATCTAATACCTTCCAAAAATCTAAAGTGGTTTAGCAATTGGCATGTAAATGATTAAAACTAATTTTTTCCTTGATATTTCAGTCACATAAAGTTCTTATTTTCCATGATACTCAATAAAAGAAACATTACCATATTACATAAGAGATTTTACATAATGTTGCTAATAATGGCTTCCATCTGGAACCTAGTCTTAAATGGCCTTTGGTAGAGAGGGTAGAATTTCCTCCTCAGGGATACTCGATTCTGATTGCTGTGCCAGGGCCACCCTTATTGCCAAATTCGGTCCTGTCCTTTGCCTTTTTAACTTCATCCAGTCTTATCAATTTCTACTCCAAAGCCACATGGCATGTTATCATTTAGTGCTTTTGATGTGTTGGCATGTATCCTTTGTCTTTTAGAAATTGATCACAACTGTTTTACAGTGTAATATCCTTAGTTTCAGACTAGTGGTAAATTGGATTCATTTCTACATAATTAGACCACTGCTGTTAATAGTATATGAAAAAAATATTTTTTCTAAAAGCAATTTATGACAGTTAAAATGGGTCTTAAAAACAGATGAAATTTTCAAAAATAAGCTTTGCCTGTTACCTACTAAATTATAAAGGTATTTGGATAGAATTTTCTGCTTTATTATAAACTAGTTAAAAATGTTGAGACATCTGGTTTTGCAAAATATGCAAAATTTGGTTGGAATCTTTAAATCAAAATATCTTACAAGTCCTCCAAAACCCCAAAACCGACTTAATTTTTTTTTTAAAGTAATTCTTTAAATATGGTGATAAGAATTATGATTCTTTGGCATATTTCCATCAAATTAAAATTTTTTAAATTAGTAGTGCATACATAGTTGAAAATTAAAATTAGTTTCTCTTTTTTTTAAGTTGTATTTTTAATGTATCCCTAATGTATTTCAGAATGCAATGAGAGCAACCATGGAATACCATGCTGACAAAGGTGTTTACCCACCTATTCAAGTCCATATCACACTGGGTCATGAGGATTTGACTGTGAAGGTAAATGTTCTTTGGGTTTTTTTAAATTGATGTGCAAGAATGCACATAATTTCTAGAAGACATAATCTTAGGAGAAAGAAATCTAATCCCTAATAGCTAATAAACACATTGTTTCATTTATCGGGCAGATTATGGAATTGTCCTGAGTCTGTTTCTAGTCTGGTCCCTATTTCAGGTGATTCGAGTTAAAATAAAACCTGGACACAGACATTTTAGCAGTGATCATGAATAGCCGCTTTGATATCTACTTTGATAAATAAAATCTAAAATATTTAGATATTTGCAGTGTTATGTAGATAGTACATAATTTTTCATTTTTAAACAGTGCTTTTCAATCTTTTAATTATTTTGATTCTCATAACTCTTTAGTTAGGAGCACAGGTAAGGAAACTAAGACAGTGATTAGGTCATGGTTACAAGGCGGATAAATGACCGCAGTGCCAGGCATTTTTCACTACATTGTCCAGATAGCCCAGTTTCTTAGAGTAGGTGATGTTTCTCTTTTTTAAATAATCATTTAAAATTTCGTTTTAAAGTAATAAGTGCAGAGGGCATAAAACGCTAATATGTCAGTTCCTGGCCATTTGTGGGTTACTACTCAGTCCTTCAGTTATTTCTTCTTGGATTTATCGCTATATTTTTAAGTAGTATTTTCATATTGCTATTTCTGAAATTCAAAAATTTTAAATGACAAATATTAGCTTTCTGTTACGGTAGCTGAGGAATTAGCTCTCTCATAGCTAATTACCTTCTCTAATTACCTTCTCTCCCCGACCCAGCTTCAATTGCCATTTCTCAGTGTTTAAGTTCACACATGGAATTCTAGATTGAAAATAATTATCTTGCAGAATTTTAAAGTCATCTACTGTTCCTTTTTTATCTAAGTAAATAATTCAGTGTTTGTTTGTTTTTTTTTAGTCCATTCACAAGGTTGTGTGACCATACCACTGTCTAATTTAAGAACATTTTTGTCACTCCCAAGAAAAACCCCAGTACCCATTAGTAGTCACTCCCCATTTTCCCTTCTCCCCAGTCCTTGGTAATCAGTAATCTACTTTCTGTGTATGTATTTCTCTATTCAGCACATTTCAGAAAAATGCAGTCATACAGTATGTGGTCCTTTGTGACTAACTTCTTCCATTTAGTATAATGTTATAGCACGTATCCATACTTCATCTTTTTTATGGATGAAAAATACTCTCTTGTGTGGATATAACACATTTCGTTTATCCATTCATCAAATTGATGGACATTGGATTGTTTTCATTTTTCATTTATTATGAATAATGCTGCCATTCATGCAGAAATCTTTCTGTGAACATAGGTTTTCAATTCTCTTATTATGTACCTAGTTGTTGAATTGCTTATTGGTAACTATGTTTAACTTTTGAGGAACTGCCAAACTTTTCCAAAGTGCTGTACCATTTCACATTCCCACCAGCAATGTATGATGGTTCCAGTTTTTCCGCATCCTTTGCCAACACTTGTTATTATAAGTTTTTATAGCTGTTCTAGTGGGTATGAGTCATATCTCATTGTGGTTGACTTGCATTTCCCTGATGATGGATGACATGGAGCATCTTTTCATGTGCTAATTGGCCATTTGCGTAGCTAAAGAAATAATATCAATTAAGATCCTTTGCTCTGTTTTTAAATGGTATTTGTCTATTGTTGAGTTGCTAGAGTTCTATTTTCTGTTATAAATACTAGTCTTTGATGAGCTATATGATTTGCAGATATTCTATTCCGTGGCTTGATAGTGTCCTTTGAAACACAAAAGTTTTTAATTTTGAGGGATTTTAATTATTCTAGTTTTTTCTTTTACTGCTTGCCCTTTCAGTGTCACATCTGATTTCAGTGTCACATGCCTAATCCAAAGTCATGAAAATTTGCACCTGTTTCCTTCTAAGAATTTTAGTTTTAGTTTTTACATTTAGGTCTTTGATCCATTTTGAGTTAATTTTTATAAAAGGTTTGAGATAGGTCTTTTTTTCTCATGTAGATATCCAGTTGTCCTAGTACCATTTGTGAAAAAACTATTCTCCATTGAATTTTCTTGTCAGCCTTGTCAAAAATCAATTGCTCATAAATGTATGGGTTTATTTCTGAATTCTTAATTCTATTCCATTCTATTCTATATGTCTTATTTATGTCTGTCTTGATTACTAGAGTTTTGTTGTAAGTTTTGAACTTGACAAGTGTGAGTCTTCTAACTTTTTTCTGCTACTTGAAGATTGTGTTGTCTTATTTTGGGTTCCATGCATTTTTATAAGGAGTTTAGTATCAGTATGTCAATTTTTGCAAAAAACAGGAGGTTTTTTTTGCAAAAAAAAAAAAGTTTTGGTAGGGATTGCATTCAATGTGTATATCAATTAAGTCTTCTAATTGATGAACACAGGCTCTTTCCACTTATATCTTCTTTAATTTCTTTCAACAATGTTTTGTGATTTTCAGTATATGTCTTGTACTTGTTTTGTTAAATTTTTTTCCTAAATATTTTATTTTGGGGGCTATTATAAATGGAATTGTTCTTTTAATTTCATTTTTGGATGTATAATTATTGATCTATGCAGTTCATTGCTAGTGTATAGGCATATAACTGATTTTTTGTGTACTGATTTTGTATCCTGCAACCTTGCCAAACTCCTTTATTAGTTCTAATAATTTTTGTGGATTTCTTAGGATTTTCTATGTATAAGATCATGTCATCTGCAGATAGAGATAATTTTACTTCTTTCTTTCCATTCTGGGTTATTTGCCCTTGCTTAATTCGTATAGCTGGAACCTCCAGTACAATGCTGAATGGCAATGGAGACAGGAGACATCCTTGTCTTTTTCCTGATCTTGGGGGAAGTAGTTAGTTTTTATCATTAAGTATAACGTTAGTTGATTTTTCATAGTATGTGTGTTGCTGAAGCAAGCACATTAGCTGGTTTTTCATAGATACCATTTATTTAGTTGAGAAAGTTCCCTTTTACTCCTAGTTTGTTGAGTATTTTTATCATGAAAAGATTTGGATTTTGTCAGATTCTTTTTCTATATAAATCAAGGTGATCATGTAGTTTTTGTTCTTTATCCTGGACTTCACTTGGTATATTTTAGTGATTGATTTTTGTGTGTTGATCCAACCTTTTTTTTTTTTTTTTTAGTTTATTGAGGATTTTTGCATTGATATTCATAAAGAGTATTTATCGGTTTTGGCATCAGGGTAATGCCGGCCTTTTAGAATGCTCTGGGAACTGTTCCCCTTTTCTATATTTTAGAAGTTTGTGAAGGATTGGTATTGATTCTTCTTTAAATATTTGCTAGAATCTACCATTGAAGCTATCTGGGCCCGAGCTTGTCATTGTGAGATTTTTGATTACTAGTTCAATTGGTTTATTTGTTATGAGTCTATTCAAATTTTCTGTTTCTTACATTTATTGAGTCATGTATGATGGCCTAACATGTGGTCTATTCTGGAGAATGTTCCATGTTTGTTTGATAAGATGAGTGTGCTGCTATTCTTGCATGGAGTGTTCTATAGATAGATGTTAGGCTTCATTGGTTTATAGTGTTGCTCAAATCTTCTATTTCCTTGTTCGTCTGTCCAGTTGTCATACCCATTATTGAAAGTGGGGAATTGAAGTATCCAGCTATTCCTGTTGAGTTGTCTGTTTTCTTAATTGTTGTCCTTGGATTACAATTAATATCTTGATTTATAAAAATCTAGTTCAGATTAAACCAACTTAATTTCAATAGTATATACAGACTTTGTTCCTATATAGGTCCTTTCTCTTCCACTTCCCATCTTTTGTGCTGTTATCATCATAAAACATACATCTTTATATATTGTACGTCCATCTACACAGATTTATTATAATTATTGATCTATGCAGTTTTGTCTTTCAAACAAGATAGAAAAATATTACAAATAAAAAATACACTTATACTATCCTTTATATTTACTTATGTAGTTACTTTTTCTGATGCTCTTTCTTTCTTCATGTGGATTTGATATATTGTCTAGTGTTCTTTCATTTCAGGCTGAAGGATCCCCTTTAATATTTCTTAATAGGACAGATCTACCAATGATGAACTCTTTCAATTTTTGCTTTTGAGAATGTCTTCATTTGTCCTTTGTTTTTGAAAAATTTTACTGGATATGGAATTCTTGATTGTTAGTCTTTGAGCACTTTGAAAATGTTAATTCTATTTAACCTTTAGGCCCTGCTTATACAGAGCCTCAAGGTGAGTCAGAGGTGAAAACTTAGGACCCTCTCAGGTTTTTCTTGAACACGAGCATAGTACTGGGCATGAACGTGATTTTCTGGATTCTCAGGATATCCCTGATTTTTCTAACCCCCTATGGACAACATCTCATTTCCCAGGCTTTTCCTATTAAGTTTTTTGGTTAGCCTATTGTTTGCCTTAGCTGTTGTATACTGCCTTAGGCAGCCCTCAGATTATACCTCTATTTTTGACAAATGTTTCTGATGATGGGGAGTAGATGCTGCAAGACGTTTTGCATTGGGAGTTCAGAATCAAGTCAGAAAAAAACAGCCTGCCTGTCCAGTGGCACCGGGCTGCAGATTTCACTCTGATTGAATATTATATTGATGGAGATGCGAATAAACCAAGTTAAAACATCATGAATCTCACTGTTGTTTTTCTTGACTACGTGCTCCCAAGATTGCTGCAAGACTTCAGTTAATTTCCAGAGCTGAACAAAGTTGATTCTGACAGTTTTTGCTCTGTTTTGGTGCTTTGATGGAGGAGAGACTTTTTTGGAACTTTTGTAACTATTTTTGCTGACATCATTCCAGCTATTTCTTGTGAGAAGACTTATGCTTATTCCAATTCCCTTTCCTTTGTATGTGACCACTTTTAATTGTGAAGTTTTGTTGTTTTCTTTGCTTTAACTGAAGCTTTTAATGTCTTCAGCTCTGTTCTGAAATTTCATAATGGTATAACTTTGCATGGGCCTTTTCTTACTCATTGGGCTAGGCTCATTAGAATTTAGAATTTCTACTGTTTCCTTGATACTTTCTTCCCTACTGTTTCTCTTTCTGGTAGTCATATTTGGAGGATGTTGGGCTTCATGAAATGATCCTCTATTTTTTTGTATCTTTTTTCTCCTGTCATCTCTAACTTTTTATTCTACTCTATGAGATTTCCTTGACTTTAAATTACTAGACCTTCTATTGAATTTTTAGGTTCTCTATCTTACAGACTTCCAAGAACTCCTTTTTTTTTTCTTATCCTTTTTTTATGGTATTCTGTTCTAGTTTTATCTTATTTTTTGTTTTATCTTCTTTTATGACTGAGGATATTAATGACTGCTGTTTCTCAAAAATTAGTATATCTCTGCTATCTGCAGTGTTACCTCTGAATTTCTTTTTTCTGTTTATCTCTCTTGGCTGTTCGTTTAAAACAGTGAGGCACAAATAAATATATGGCAGTACCATCTGTTTGCTGAAAAAGTAATGTGATTGCATCACTTTTTTTAAGCCCAGATGCTAATGTGTGTCTATTTTTTGGTTAGTTATGTGTCAGCTACTTGCCCACTAAGTTTACTTGATTCAAAATAAGTCCCATATGTCTTCTGTTTTGGGGTTTAGTTATGCTACAGCATGATCTTTCTTGTACCTTTTTCTGCTTCTGTTCCTTGTGCTTAAGCATACTGATGCCAATGCTTTTCACTACTTGTGATCATCCATCTCTGCATGAGTCAGGGTTCACTGAGCTCCTAGACACTCAGCAGAGACTTGTTCTGTGCTCGTAGACAGGCTTTGCTCAGATAATTTGGTGTAAAGAAAGGTTCATAATGACCCAGCATTTCCACTTCTAGGTATGTATATACTCTAAAAACAGATTCAAGCAAAAACTTACATGTGGACGTTTATAACAGCATTATTCACAACAGCCAAAAACTAAAAACAGCCTAGATATCCATCAGCTGATGAATAGATCACCAAAATGTGATGTATCCATCCAATGGAATGTTATTTGGCTATAAAAAAAATGAAGTATTGGTCTATGCTACAACATGTACCAATTACAAAAAGTCACGTATCATAAGATTCTATTTTTACGCAATATCCAGAATAGGCAAATATAAAGGAGCGAGAAGTAGATTAGTGATTGCTTAGGAGTGTAATCAATAAAGAATCCAAGAGTTTCTTTTTGAGGTCATGAAAATATGCTAAATTGACTGTGTAAATGATTGTACATGTCTGTGAATATATTAAAAAAACATCGAGTTGTATACTTTAAATGGGTGAATTGTGTGATATGTGAATTGTATTTCAATAAAGCTGTTAAAGGTTCATAAGGATCTTGAACAGAATGTTCTGGAAGCCACTGTGAAACCCCTACCTGAATATAGGGCTTTGCCTCTACCTATTGCTCTTCTTCCTCACATTCAAGATCACATGACTGCATCCGTTCTTGTTATGATGGGGTAAATGCTTGCTTTAACTATTTTCAGTAGAGCTTTCATCTCCATCACTTACCCTAGACGTTCAAGATCAAGGCCTGGGTTTTTTCTCTATTCTTTCAGTTCATATTATTGACATTTTTCACCTTGTATCTTTCTACTGAAAATCCTATGAAATTATTTTAGAAGTGTTTTAGAACTCTAGCTGCTCTCAGATTTTGTGTTTGGTCTTTCTTCAGTAAATAATGTAAGTGTTGTAGCCACATGTCTTTTAAATTAAAATATGAATGTCTTGCTTGGTTTATTCTCTGTTGGTGATTTTATAAACTCGACATTGAAAAAGCTGTTGAGTAAGATACTTGAAGAGCTCTGGGTGAGTTAAGGGTTAGTAAATTTCCTGCCTTCAGAGCTGTCATCAGGTTAGCAGTAGTTCATTTCCCTTGGACCTGAAATTTACATAAATTAGCCCAGGGAGCCCAGTGTTATGGGGCACAGGAAGTTAGGGATGGTAACTCTTGGTTAGATGACCAAGAGAAGTGGTAATTTCATGCATGGAAGAGAAAACTTTAAAAATAATTGGCAAAGTTCTCTTCTTCAGCCTTCCTGTTGACATTACTCCCCAACACCTACCTCTTTCAAAATCTCTTTCCTTTTCCTTGGCATAGGCTTATGTTCCCACAAGTCTAGATTTTTTTCTTCCAATTAACTTAATCAAAGATTTTTTTGTTTAATTTTCATATCTCTTTCTCAATGTACTTATCATCAGAGTGCCATTCTTGTCTTAAATATACACAGACCAAATGTCTGTCTGTCTCCCTTCCTCCCTCCCTCCCATTATCTCCTTCCTCCCTTTTCCCAAAGAACTCAGATCCTCTGGTATAATATCTCATAACTCTCTTGGAAACTCTTTCGGCTACTTTGAAAATCTGGTGGTTCCAGTTTTTATTGTGTTTTTGGCTGCAAAGCAAAGGAAGTTACTTTTTATCAGTTTTTAACTATATTTCTCTGGCTTAGTTTACCCTCTTCACCTGTAATAAGAAATCTCTCTGAGTCACCTCTGTCCTTCCTGCTCCACTCTCCGCTTTTCTCATACTAGCCTATGGCTAGAAATCGTTCTTGTTTTACACCTGCTGGATGCTATAGTATTTTTGGCCAGCAGGTTGAGGAAAACCAGAAAATATTTTTTAAATTCTACCATTTTATCTTAATATCTATTCCAATTTGTTGTCTACTTAGTTAATATTTACAGAACTCTAACACTTCTTACTCATGTTACCAGCGAATGTGCAGCAGAGCATTAAATTAAAGGATGAATAATTAACAAATTGATAGATCACAGAAAATATCCAGAGCGCTTTATTCATCTTACTAAAATAAATCTCCGCACAGGGCTTTGAATTTATGGCCAAGAACAATTTCAAGCCTAATACTACACACAAGTTCTTAATAAGGTCCTTGTATATTTTTATACTGTAATTATCTAAATATAGATATATCAGAGGCAAGTCTTCAAATGGTATTTCAAAGCAGATTTTTATTTTAAAAATTAAAATAGTTATGTAATTTCCATTATGAAAGTAATATACAGCAGGTCTTCGAATAACATTATTTAACATTGTTTAGTTATAATGTTGATGAGGTGCTGTAGGAACTTATGTCTTGTTTATATCAGTTAGCCTGCAGTAAAATTGGTTTCCTTATATGTCATTTCACCACAGTTCCAAGAACCTACTGACGACATTAAATGATGAGGATTTACTTTATATGCATTCTGTAAAGATTTTTGAAGACAATATAAAAATTCAACTATACGCCATCCAGCCTATTGACTTTTTAATGCATATCATTTCAGTACTGTTTTTTTTATCTCTGCATATCTATATGCCTATGTTAAAAACATACTTGTTTATATATAACAAGTCTGTTAATATTATAGATAGTTAGGAGAATCAATTCAGATTTTGTAACAAAAGAAAATGGCAATAATAGAGTAGAGTATAAGGTATACGATAACTAGGAAAATAAGTACGCGTTAACTGTGAAGGAAAACAAAATGAAGACAATCTATAAATAAATTATTAAATCTGGCCTACCATATGATTTGAGTTGGAAAATGATGTAAGAATAATAAGATACATAAAAAACTTATGTACCTTTTAAACTCACCAAAAAGTTGTCTGGGAGTCTTTGCTGTAAAATGTCTGTGACTAAAACACAATTAAGTGGTTCTGTTTTTTTCTCCCTAGATATGAAAATTATACTTTTTTTCCATAATAAAAGTAATTGTGAAAAAAATTCAGAAACCTAAAACTTCCAAAGAAAATCACTCATAATTCTGTAGAGAATAAAATTATATATCATTAGACTTTTTAAATAAAATTTTTACAAAATTTGAATATAAGTGCTTCTTCATAACTTTTACTACCTAACAATATTTTGTGAACATCTCAAATGCCAAATACAGTTCTCCATAATATTTAATGGCTAAATAGTATCCTATTTTAGAATATACATTAATTTAAATAGTCCCCTGTTTAGGTTGTAATCCAGTTTTAGCTCTTCTCCATAGTGCTATGATGGATATTCTCACATATTCTTTGCATACCTTTCTGATTATTTTTTTAGGATTAAACATTGCTGGGGCAAAAGGTTTGTACATTTTTCATCTGGTTGCCAAACTGCCCCCTGGGAAGGAATAACAAATTTATTCTTACGTCTAGGGTAGGTTTAGTTTATGCTACATTCTGTCCTCATCACACTATCAGTATAACTTCAATAAATATACACAAAGTCACACACTGAATTTGCATTATGATGGAGTTTATTATGTGTTAGAATCCCTCACCATGAGGAGCTGTGTTAAGTCCAGCAGTGAGGGAAGTGTTTACATTCACGGCTCGGATTGTGGATTGTGTGGTATTTGTTTTGAAAAGCTGTGCTCTCCAGCCAGCTGCTAAACTGTGATGCCGAGTACGCACGCATTGGTATTTTGCTGTTTCTGGGACTTGGTCATAGTGCACGGTCCTTTCTCATCATAGATGAGTGACCGAGGAGGTGGTGTTCCTTTGAGGAAAATTGACAGACTCTTCAACTACATGTACTCAACGGCACCCCGGCCTCGTGTCGAGACATCTCGAGCAGCACCCCTGGTATGTGATCAAGAATGAAGTGTGGTTTTGTGAATTGCCAAAAAAAAAAATCAGTTACCAAATAAATCAGGTGAGCCATCATGTAGGCTACACCACATGCAAGAAGGGAAGCTATTAGAAAAAAAAAATTCCTCTAAATTTCAACAGCCTTTGTTTTTTGTTTTTTTTTTTTTCCTTTTAATCAAAGAGCACAAAACAAAGTATTGTTTTAGAGGTTTCATTGCCAAGCTTGATAGTGACGTATGAGTAGTTTTCATGTGGTAAACCACATTTTGATATACTATTTCTAATGTGAAGACTAAAGTAGCAGTTTTAGTGGTATTTGGTCCACACTGATTTATTGTCAGTGTTGATTTTTTCCCCTCAGGTACTTACAATTAGGAAGCTCTCATATCTAGACTCAGAAATAAAACTACGGTTCTGATCAGTTTAGTCACCAACCTGGAAATGGCTCAAATTATCATTGTTTTGCTGGTATTTTTTATTGATTGTGGTCACCTATTTTCAGGTTTAATAAGATTAGCTTTTGAATTGACTCCATCCTTGTCCTCCAAACCCCAGAAAAGCGCTTTGCCAAATCTGAGCTGTAATTCTGGAAGAACTGTTCTTCCAGGCTTTGAAAGTTATCTGGCATGTACACAGTTACACTGTAACATGATGAAACAAGATAATGTAAATCCTTTTTAGACTCTATCTAGAAAGTTCCTAAAAGAACTTCATTCTAATAGTTTTACCTGTTAGGCAGATAAATTCTGTAGCTACAATTATAATATAGTTTTTAAATGCTCTAGCAATGTGCTTCTCACCTTGAGATACATGGCACTGAGGGTAGGCATCCATGTGCCAAGGGACAGACAAGGTCAATAATAAACATGAGCATCTTATTAGATTCTGATTTTATCCTAAGAAGTAAGGGGAGACATGGGATATACTGCTTCTCTAGTAAACAAATATTGTAGAATTTTTCTGGAGAGTGGCATGGCATACTAGTCTAGACTCAGTCCAGACTGGTTCTAGTTCTGACTCTACCACATCCTAGCTGTGTAGCTTTGGGCAAATTCTTTACCCTTTAAAACCACAATTTTCCTAACTTTAAAAATCGAGTTATTGTGAGGATTAAGTAAGTTAACATATGTAAAAATATTTTGTATAGTACCTGGCACACAGTAAATGCCATGTGTTTGTTTAGGATGTAAAATTTAGGATGTGAATTTTTAAGAAAACGGGAGGCTTGCCATGGCACAGGCTACCCTATGTATATACACAGCCTTACTGAGGGGAAGACTGTTGTTAAGCTCTTTCAGAGCCTCCTTCCTGGTGTCATGACCAGTTTGTAAGTGGACCCAGTAAGCAAGCACTGGGGCAGCTGGAGAAAGGCTGCCTAACACCCACAGGAGGGGTCGTCTTGCTGCCTGATTACTGAGCACTTCTTCTATGTGACTGCCTTTTGGTGGGTATCTGCATGGACGGAATATCTTCACACTGTAAGCCCATTCAGAGAAGACCGTCCATGTTCCTCTCTCTCGGACCTCCTCATCAGTTATGCAATTTTGTTCTTTGAAAGTCCCTGACCAGCCAGTCTGTTTGCCACTGCCTGCGAGTCCATGTAGGGGTTCTACCTCAAGTTTTGCCCACTGGTAGGATTTACTTTCACTCCTGCCCATGACAGAGATTGTAGTGAAAATGCAGTCCACTCTGGCTGGTGCTGGCATACAGTGTAGCTCCATCAGTAGACCAGGCTCATGCTGTTTTTCTTCACCGTGAACTATTCCTAGAGGAAGCCCCACAAGTCCATAGGAGTGGTTGAGGGAGAGGCAGTGATAAAGTAGATCAAGCACCATGGGATCCTGAGTCACCTGCTTGTGCAGTTTGTTTGGAGCCATATCTGGAACAAATGAACATATTATTCAGGATCCCAACAGAAAAGAGCTCATTCAAATTATGATAACTAAGGAAGGCTTATTTAAAAAGAGACAAATTACAGAGCTACAAGTAGGGATAGTACAAGAATCCAGGGCTAGCAGCAGTAGAGCTGTCACCACCCAGAATCAAAGGGAAGAGGAGAAATTAGCAGAACCCAGAAGAAGGAAAGGTTGCGGAAGCAGCTGCTTACTATCAAGGGGCCCACCGTGCCCAAGGGAGGCCACGACCTCAGTGGGAAGGGAGCAGGGGAGTGAATGCCCTGACTTGACTCTCTGAACTCCTACTGGGTTTCCCATTGGCCCGACCCATGACCCACTGAAAGCAGAGCGCACTGGAATCCAGTGACATCATCCATTCAAGTCAGGCTCCCAGGGCAAGAAGTGTGGAGAATGCATAGTTGATTTGAAGGGGCAAAAGGAAACTCTAGTTAGAAAAATCAAGTAATAAATGGTGGAGGCAGGTAAAGCTAGAGCCCAGATTTGTTTATAGCACTCTGATTCCTGAGTCAGAGTAACTAAAGTGTAATGTAGAATGTCATTGAATATCTGACTTGGTGAAAAAAAAAAAAAAAACTTTCACATTTATCTAAATGTTTTGCTTTGTATTAAAGAATCAGTAGGATTTATGTAGGTAAAGAAGGCCATTCCTAATACTGGGAACAGGGTGAACAAAGACAGAGAAGCGAAAAATAGCATGATATGTTTGAGGAACTTAAGAGCAGGAGATTTAGTTCAGCTGGACTGGAAAGTGGGAGGTGGAGACCTGATCTTACCTGATCTTGAAAGCTCTTTTTAGAAGCTTGGATTTTTATCTCAAGGCAACAGGTTGGAGGTGAAGGGTGGGGTGGGGGGATCTGCGCTTTAAAGAATTTTAAGCAGGGAAGTGACCTTTCAGTGAGAATGAAGAAAGTAGACCTATTAAGGATCTCTCCAGGTGTGGAGCACAGGCTGGACATTCATGGTATGAAGTCATGAGACATATCTTTTAGGCTGCAGCAAGGCTTTTTCTACTCTTGCTTCTAAGAGAGAGAACATGTTTTATATGATATTGCCCAAAGCAGTATTGGGATACTCTAGAGCAGGCCAGTGAAGAAAAGTAACATGCTTCTTCTAGACCCCCACGAGTCATTTATAGGAAATGAAGACTTCTGAATGATTGGAGGAGAGTCGTCTAATGGTCTCAGCTAGGCCTCAGGTGGATCATTATCAGTACTTAAGTATCAGCAGATCTCTCAGATGCAGGCTCTACTAGCCCTGGGTACTTAGTTGCATTTATTTTCATTAGAAAAGTATTTCTGTGTGGCTTTCTGAATAGAATTTCTTTCTTTTTTTTTTTTTTTTTATGCAACAGGCTGGTTTTGGGTATGGATTGCCCATCTCCCGTCTTTATGCACAATACTTCCAAGGAGACCTAAAGCTGTATTCCCTAGAGGGCTACGGGACAGACGCAGTGATCTACATTAAGGTAGTAATGATAGTCTTCTTGAGGGAATGAGACTTCTTTTGATTAGAAGAAAAGATGCCAGTATTTAACTGTAATGAGGTTTTCCTCTACCTCATGTTGTTAAAAGTATATGGCTTTTTACATAGGACCTCATCTATTTTGACAAATGATCTTCTTGACTGTGGGAAAAGATCTGCTCTTATCTATAATGATCAGGACTATGGTTGTTAATAGAAAAAAAATTGGGTCAAAGTGGGGAATCATAAAAAGTTTATAACTTACAATTTTAATTTTTACATAAAACACATTAATGGACGTATATCCACCAGTCTTTTGATGTACTGCCAAGTCCTTTTCTTTGTATATGGATCTGGAGACTAAAGCTTTAGTTATCTTTCTTGCAGAAGCTGTACATCAGAATGCATATATTTTTTTTCTTTTTGGTTTCTGTAAAGAAACAACTAAGTACATAATTATTTTTGATTTTTATGCAGTCCTTTACAGATGTCTTCCGACTCTGATTTGACAGCACTTTTTATGTGACATTTCTCATAAATCTTTCCAAAGCATTCATCTTAGTTTTCAAAGAACCTTCTTCATTTATTTTGGCACTTTGTTTAAGTAATGCTTGATTAAATTTTGTATTTACAATGACAGATGGACTTGCATAAATAGATTTGAGAACAAGCACAGGTGACTCTTGGTAAGCCTATAGCTCACCTGGTAGGAGCAGAAGCACTGAGCCTACTGGCCTAGGACGTTCCATGTGTTTATGCAGAGATCAGTATATTTTACAGGGATGGAGAGCCCTGAGCCTCATCTGTTCACTAGATTGGTTTAAGCTGTGGGCTGTTGGCACCTAATTTAATGACTCTAGTTTCTTGTCCTGGCCACTAGATGGCACCGATTTTATAGGAAATGCCAAAGACTTTATATTGGAAAAAATAAATTTAACTGAAAAGGTTAAATTCTTTCAAGATAATAGTTCTTTTTTTAAAAAAAAAAAATCTCAATTGTAAGGGACTTAAAAAGGGCAACATGAGGCAGTATTTTTATCATTAAATGTAACATCTTTGATCCAGCCAAAAATCAAGGGGTGCTGGCAGTTCTGGCATAGTTAAAAAGAATATGTAAGTGAAAGGATTTTAGTTCCATTTTGGAAGAAATAGATGGCAGGAAGTCTTATAGAATCATTAAAATCATCAACTTCAAAGACTTTCCTTAGCATTATCAGAATGAAGTTTACAGTTCAATATTTTCTACATCTTGGGGAATGCCTGTGGCTTAAGGTTGGAATTCTACTGAAATATCCCAACTTGAAGAAGATAATGAGAACGATAGTTTATCTCAGGTTCCAGTGATTTACAGGAAGCTGAAATAGGATAGTGAATTAATGTAATGATATGTTGGAAACTGAAATTATGTGTGATATAGAAATCATATATGTTATAACTGAAATTGGTGACTTTAATAGGAGGAGGAAAGGACACAGGATCAAACCCAGGGCCACGAATGGTTCATGAAAAAGCCAAGATGCCTTAGACATAGTTTTATATTTATTGATGATAATATGTTGAATTTTTTAAAGTACAGTGACTATACTAAAAAAAAGTATTTCTTCTAATAACTAATTAAAATACAGTTCATTAAATAATTGTACCATTATGGAAATTAATGTACACACGTCAGTTTTTATGCTTTTATACTTACAAGACTTTTTCAATTAACTAACTTCCGTTCTGGGTCATGTTTTATAAGAAGTGTCTGTTACACCTGTGTAAAATTTTAATCCAGTGGCTTCCAGGTGGCTGGAGAATTACTGCAAGCAACACACTCAGTCAACATGCACCCCAGGCAGTGCCATAGACTTACTAACACATTTCAAATATATACACTATTTAAAAATGTATGGAGATGGTGTTATGATTAATAAAATACAAAGCAAATACAGTATTGTTTAACTTGTACAACCTTTTTGCCACTGTATATTTTCTCAAGTAATGGATCCTAAAAACATGCCAGCCTTAAGTCTGTCTTTTCTTTCAGGCTCTGTCAACAGACTCAATAGAAAGACTCCCAGTGTATAACAAAGCTGCCTGGAAGCATTACAACACCAACCACGAGGCTGATGACTGGTGTGTCCCCAGCAGGGAACCAAAAGACATGACAACGTTCCGCAGTGCCTAGATACACTTGGGACACCTGAGAAATTCACCTGTGGCTTTTGTATTAAATTTGGAAGGGATGGTGTTCAGAACTACATTATACCAAATACTTCATGTGTTCTTTTCACAATTAACTATTTGGGTAGAATAAATGGAATCTGAATTCCATTTATGTCTGTTAAACCTCCTAAAGGATGAAATTGTACCTATCTGACACATTTTCACAGTTAATTGGACATATTTTTAAACAACTGTAATTTTAGTCAACTTTTGTCTTTATGGTAGACTTCAGAAGAGTAGAAATCTTTGAGTCTCTACAGGAAGCTGTGTGGTTTTTTAGAATACTGTTCATTTAAGTCTGCCGGAAACATTTTCTTAGTTATATTGATTAGCTAGTTAGCCATCTTTCTGTTGTTCGAGGGAGTTCTGCCATCTTTTATTTAGTAGTGGAAACTGTAATAAGACAGTCTTCATGTTTACCACCGACTAACTACAGGTAAAGCAGAAACAGTTGTCTTGTGAGGATAGAACCAGCCACCTTTCAGCAACTACATGCATTGTCTTAGCTCTGAAGTTGATTTATCATTTTAAAATTTTACTGCAGAAGATTGGAATGACTAGTTCCCTTTGGATCTAAGCCACGATCATGAGCAGTCCGGTTTGAATTTGCTTGTGATTAATGTGAGCGGAAATTTTTATACTAAAAACAAACTAGCAGCTGCTAACATTCTAGAGAAGAAATTGAGGGCAAAGCAAAGAGGCCCAAAAACTCAGCTATCAATTGTTGAGATTACCTGGGGGACCTTTTGAGAAACAGCTTTTCTGGGTCCTACTCCAGACATGCTGAATTAGACTCTCTATGGCTAGAGCTCAGAATTCTCTTAAAAGACTTCCTAAGTGAGTCTGCTGCATCGCCTAGTTAGGGGGAAACCATTCTTTTACAGTAAATAATGATGTTATGACATTCACTAAAGTAACAGAAATTTTTAGGTTTTTATTTTCACCTATTGAAAGGTCAGACTTATAGACTCTAGGAGAGACAAGCCGAATCTCAAGCCTGGTGCAATTAGAAGCATAATTAGAAGCAGAAAACAAAATGACTACTGGAGAATAGTAGTTACCTGAAGGATCAGAACTATAAATGCACAAGTCTTGACAAAGAGCATATATTCTATGAGAAATATCTAGATATCGCTAGCAGGAAAGAGTCAATTTGGGCTTATAACAATCCTTTGCATTTGTGTGGTACTGTGTAGTCTACAGATACTTCAGTATGTTATGATAACTGTGGGGCTTTAAAACAGAGAGATACAGAGCAGGAAGCATCATCCTTGTGTTGAGACTCAAGAGTGTGGCCCAGAGTTGCACAGAATTGGAGCCAGGACCCAAATTTTATCTGCTGGTCACTCCGTCAGCTGCCAGATCTGGGAGACCATGAAGGTAGGAGACTGCGTTGATAGTCATGCCTAATCTTTTAAGGTGATAGGGAAATACATTGACAATAAATTTTAAAGGAAGATTTTAAATGTTTAAAGAACAGCTTTACTACTTAAATGGGAGATCTTTATTATTTATCTGGAAGATACATTGAATTGAAACACCTCATTCTCAAAAGGATTATATAAGCTTAACAACTCTATATAAAGTTGTAGATTGGGAGGAATTTTGGAGGGCAGTTAGTCCAGGACCCTGATTTGAAAGATAATGATCTTGAGACTCAGGATAATTGGTTTGCCCAGGGCTTCTTAGCTAATCTGACCAAATATTGGAGAAAAAGATCTTTTACCTAACCTATTGTTCTTTAATTATGTATTTTGTGAAAAACAATAGGAGATGCTGATAGATGATTTTTATTCAATATGTTACAATTTTTTAGTTTTAAATTACACTTCTTGTAATGATAAAATATTTTAGAATCCTTTGAATCAGAGTATCTACTTTTTTTCCTAAATGAGACATTTGTACAACTGACATAAACTTGATGTTTTTACTTAAGAAACACCTCCCTTTTTATTTAATAGATAAGAAATGGTGTTATCTAAAGAACAGTGAAATCTTTTCCTCTAGCTTCTTTTTAGGTATAATGTTTCTTTACTTTGTTATTGTGGTAATGGACAGAAAATTACAGAAATATTTGGGGGGAAGCTTTTTCCTAGTTGGTTTTAAATCGTTGTGCCACCCAAAAAATTTTTAGATTTTTACACTATTTTGTCCACCAGCATTTAATGTGATGTCATGTAGATATAAAAATATACTGAAGGATAAGAATTGATACTAAGTGATTTTTATAACCTAGGCATTTAATGAATGTGCCAACATTTTTTAAGAACCATAAAACTGTTCTGCCCTATATTTAAAATACTGGTTGGCTTTATATATCTTCATACTCAATAGCAATCATTTTCTTGCACTGTGAAGTTTTTACATGAAGATGGTGAAGTGGAAGTCTACCATATTATTTTATAAAATGTTTTGTGAATGGCAATAAACTGAAAACATGGATCAACTCTTATTTTGAAAATTAAATTGGGTCAATTTAGATTTTGAAAATGTCCTTTTAAAAGAGTTTTTCATCATTAAGGGTCAATATTCTATAAACATTCAAAAATTTGTAGCTAAATGGCTTACACTAATTCTGGTTACCTTCAGCAGAGGAAGTATTTTGAACTTAGATTTCCAATGTGTATATTCTAATGGAGAAAGGCAGAGGGGGAGTTTTGTATGATTTGAGTTATCCTAGACTTTTATTAACCAAACAACCACAGATGATTTATCACATAAATGAAGATCTGTTGTGTGATTTATGAAAGGTTGTATTTAACTGTTCTTTGAATAACTTTCACAATGTAATTGTAGAAAAGGTCTTAGTTGAACCTGCTTTACCCTTCTGCTTATACCAATTGAAAATCAGTTCTAAACTCCTTAGATCAAAGATAGATTCTTATTCTATTTCTGATTGTTGGGATAGTACCACAATGTCCCTTCATTGTTAAAGCCAACAAATTCCATAACACAACACCACAGATAAAGAACTGGGGACACAAACTCTTAGTGTTATGGTTCCTTTTTTGCCTGTGGCTGATCAGAGAGGAAGCCAAAAATCAGCCATTTGCAAACATCGCTTTTGCTGGAGGAACTTTTCATCATATGATTAACTTCTGGCCCCAATAATAAATTTTCTTTACAGTGTAGCCCAATGTACTTGAAAAATATTTCTTACAGTGTAGCCCAATGTACTTGAAAAAAAACTATAAAAGGATTTTATGTGTTAAAAAAGAAGGCACCACTGGTTTGCTTAGTTCTGGCATTTTTAAGCTATTGCACCTTTTCTATTTACATGTTTGGAAAGAATTAGACATCATACCACCTACTTTTTTTCTAGAGTCTTCGCATTTCTTTAGCAATCACTAAACAGGCTTTTAACAGCAAAAGACAATTGCTAGTGTTTGCTACAAAACTTTAGTCTTTTTTTTCTTGTCTTGGAAAAGCTGTTATTTATATCAGGGAATAGTGACAGCTAACTTTTACTTGGTTAAATTAGAGATTTTTGAGCAAAAATATACAATTTTTATTGGTAAGATAAACCAAAGAAAGTCCCATTTGAGTGTTGTCTTCATTCAGGAGTTATTTTCTGAAAGTTTAGAACTGTACTTCTGTAGTTGTCACATAAAATATCAAAAATTTGTAGTTTTGAGTTGAAATGTTGATATCTATTTATAATAAACTAAAAATGGTGAAAAATTCCTTCAGGAAAGAGTTTATGAGGCCAGGGTATTTTAAAATTTAACTCAAATGTAAAAAGACACAGTATTCTTGCCATCGTTTTATACTTAGATGTCTTTCATTAAGGGATCCAAACACTAGAAATAAAAAGACAAACAGATAAGCACCATACTCAGATGGCTTTTCTAGGTCATGAAATTTCTCTGTATCATTTAAGAGCCACTCAGTTGATTGGATTCAATTTTTAGTGAGACAATTTGGAGGCTCATAGATAATTGGACACTTTCATAAACCACATTAAATGTTATCATTTTGAATTTCTATAATGGAAAAACAGGTCATTCTCAAATCATGGAAGGTTATTGTGACTAGTAATAATAGGCAAAACAAAATTTTCTTGCCTCAGACCTATGTTTTCTAAAGAGATAAAGTTAATACTAGATATTTTTGAGATAGCACACTAATGCACTTTTAATTTCCAGTCAGCAGATAGCAGCACTTGATTTCAGTTCAGAGAGAAAGTTACAGTGGTGTTCTGTGTAATGCTGTGACCTGTCCACTCAAGAGCTTTCGGAAAATGATTAAGTTAAAACTGAATACAGTCAAATGGAAGATTCTCTGGTTTTTCTTGGAAGGGGGAACATTGTGGTACTTTGGTTAAATACCTTTAATTTAACAAGGTAAAAGACAGTTTTTACTACTCTTCAGTGTAAACAACTGTTTTTTTTTCCTGTTATGTATCATATTAAACACAATATGAAATTTTATTCACTATAAAGGAAATAAGATTTTATGTTTTTCTCTAGCTTTTCTCAGAAATATTCCAAGTAAAGTGAATTTGATTTACTGTAATTGACAGTTTTATGGCTGTAGGCACTAAACTATCCACTGTACTCTTTAAAATAAAGACACAGAAAAATTCTTCAGACAACCCAAAGAAGTAAAAAAAAAAAAAAAAAATACATTCCTGGATACTAGGTTTATAAAATGGGTAATATGCATTTCCTTAAATCATCAATGTAAGGCACGATTATCCTGTTGTCTATGTTTGCAATATTGTCCCCAAAGTGACCTGAATTATCCATTCTACAAATGTGCTAGGCCCTGTGCTCAATCCGTAGATTTTTGATGATGAGTACAAGTCGTCACAGGCATTCACTTTCAATTTGTAACTTTCCAGCTAAATTATCTCTTGCCCATCTATATCTTTGCTGTGAATTCTGTAATAAATTATTTCAGGTTTATGTCTTCCACCGTGGCTCTTCTTGATTTGCCTTCTCTGAAATGAGTTAACTGTGTCGCTAATTAGCTGTCCCTCTAGTTCTGGTTATCATTTGACAGACACATAGGTGTCCAGTGTATTTAGGCATCCCAGCCCCAGCCCCTAATGCCCCTCGGGGCCCTGAGCACCAGCCGCACAACACCTCCTTGGAGGTTCAGGAACCAGTCATATGAGCTCCTCGTGGCACTTAGGTTTTTGTAACATCATGTCTTCCCTTTTGTTCTACAGCCCTGGATGGGGCCGAGAAATTATTTTCTTGCAATTATTAATCTTTGAGTTATTTCACAATTGCTTTTTTGTTCTTTCAGTTTTCTGACACCTGTATAATCGGTTCCCTGCAATAAGTCTCTTCTTTTTGAAATACTTAATTTCCATCTGCCATATTATTCCTGACCAATACAGCTGTTAAAATAGCAAACACATACCTAAAGTAGTGTTTCAGCAGCAGAGAAAGGTTTTAATTTTCTAAACTCCATGTTTGAATTCAAGTAAAATGCTTGTTAGGATCTTAGGGTTTTGGTAGCATAAAAATCGAATCATTTGCTTGTAACAACTGGAAAATTGAACTAATAAAATCAGATTTAGGGTGGAAGAAGGAAAAACAAACCCTTCAATATGGCACTTAGCAATGATTTAGATTTATGATTGACAAGTCCATAGTATAAAATACTTTATAAACTTACAAAAGTACTAGTAAGATCTTCATATTATATATGACCTTCTGAGTGAATATTTTCCTCTTCCTTTCAAAACCAGAAGGAAAACCGCAAAATACCAAAACTCAACCAGAATGAACTAGGTGATCTGCACAGTCCTATAACCATTAAATAAATTCGTTAATGTAAATGCTTTCGAAAAAGAATCTCCAGGCCCAAATGGTTTACTGAAGAATTTACCAAACATTTAAAGAAATTAATGTGAGTTTTACATAATCTCTTCCAGAAAAATAGAAGAGGAGGTGGCACTTTTCAACTCACTTTATAAGGCCAATATTACTCTGATACCAAAACCAGACAAAGACAGTACCAAAAGAAAAACACAAAAAACAAAGAAACATACCAACATCTTTTGAGGCTCCAGGTGCCACAATTTTAATAAAATATTGACAAATTGAATCAAACAATGTATAAAAAATGTATGCCATAACCAAGTGGAATTTATTCCATATATGCAGGGCTGGTTCAACAATCAAATATCAATGTAAGCTAACAAAGAAAGGTAATAGTATCAATTGACACAGGAAAAGCATCAGAAAATTCAACCCCATTCATCTGATACTAACCCCACTGTTAGGCAACTTTCCCATCCTCGACACTCCCCTTAATAAGAATAATTAATGCTTTTCACATCTAATTCTGTGAAAGAGTCAGATTTTAAAAGAAATACATGGATGGAAATAGGTATATCGAACAGATTTATTGTGTCATGATTTTCCAAGACAATTTAAAAATGTAATTTTTTTTTTTTTACATAGAGAAAATAGTGTTTTTCTGGAGAAATAATGTAGTTAGAAAGATCATAATTCCTCGTATGATGTATGCTTTACGGCACTAAGCTAATGAGCATCATAGCATCTCTGTTCCCAAGATCTACCATTACACATTAACATTTAAGTGAATACGTTCATTATATAACCAAGATGGCAATTTCCAAAACCAAATTCAATTACTAACTACTTTATGAATCTGAGGTTTGATTTAAAGATTGACCAGTAGGTTTTTCCTATGGTGGACTTCAGCCATCTACATGATTATATATATACATATAGCATGTCAGTAAAAACAAATGCTGTTACCTTGTATTTTAATTAAAGCCCTTGCTACAGAAAAGTGTCAGTTGGGTACTCGGAAGCAGATACTGAGAGTAAGGGGAAAAAAGTGCTGATGGGTAACTAGAACAAAATTTAGAGATTATTGAGGAAATGGTATTGAGCCTTAGACCATGATGCGGGTCTGACACTCCTGGCCTACATAATGAGGATCGCAGGACAAAGATTGCCAGGAGGAGCGCCTTTTGAGTCAGAAATGGCCGATATACTCGCCATGCTGTCCCTGCCTGGAAGGGCATGGCTGGAAAGCTGAAGCAGAGCATGAAGTCACCAACAGATGGAGCTTCTCAGCTAATTCACTCTTCAGCTAACCAGTAAATTCTTTTCTGAAGGGAGATCTGAGCAGCATACCTCCATGGCTTCCTCAGAATTGCTGAAGAGGACTTATAGAAGTAAAATTCCTATTTGAGCTTTTTTTGCTGCCAATTACTTCTTTACATCACCTTTGAAAAGCTGATTTTAAAATCATGCTCCTGTGGAACAATTATCAGCTAAAACTATATAATAATCTATTTCTAATTTGGAAAGAGAAAAAAATTCATAAAAATTAAGGTAATGTATAGAATCTCAATATTAATTTCTATTAACTTTTCATAAATTTGATGCCTCATATATCTGTTTACAAGTATTAGTACACAACAGTGACAAGAATAGCTGTTTATACTTTTCTTATACTTAGTTTTGTGGATATAATTTTATACTATTATAGTAGCGATTTTCTGGTAGAAAAAAATACTTTCAATTATTAATCTTTGGGTTACTTTGCATATACATAGAGAATATTAGGAATAATGCCTAGGTGTATCAACAGTAATTGTATCGGGGAATAGGTTTGTGCAAGGTGACAAGTGCAGAAGGGAAGAATTTGTTTTTATTTAATACTCATAAATATTGTTTTATTCCTGACATTCTCTATGCATATGTGAATTTATATATACACACCAAATGCATATCCTCTTAAAAATACAAAACCTGTTTGCCTATAATATTCTTCAACAATTTATTCTTTTATTTAACAATAGCATTTTTCATGTCACGATTTTACCCATAAATCATCCTGCATAGTTTTAGAGGTTATATGATTTACCATTGTAATAGATATGTCAGAATTGAATTTAAACACTCATTTGATGACAGGTATTTAGGTTATTGCCAGTGTAACATGTCAGTTTTAGCTGAGGCTTTCAAGTCTGCAAATAAAACTCAAGGTGCCAACTACCCCTGTATTCTAAAGTGACATGCTAGACCACTTAGGTAGAACTAACTTGCAAAGGAGGTCTCTCTACACTGGCTTGGAACCCTGAAGGTGTCATGCATCATAAAATATAAAATTATTGAAGTTTTTAAGTTTGAAAAAGAAAAGTTAAAACCTTAGAATGAAATGAGATTTTGAAAACTGTTACAGACAAAGCAAGGGGTCCTGTTTAGTTTCCTCAGAAGATGGCCAAAAGGTACAAACTTCCAGTTATAAAATAAATAAGTCATGGGAATGTAAAGTACAGCATGGAAACTACAGTTACTAATACTCTATAGCTTATTAGAAAGTTGCTAAGAGAGTAGATCATTTTCATAATCATTACCAGATAGAAGTAGAAGTAAATTTGGTATCAGAGAACTGAAGTCAAAGGTGAGTGAAGGAAGAAAGTTTTTCCAAGCCTGGAAAAACATGTTTGAAACAGAATGATAAATTCTAAAGTATGAGCTCAGGCATGCAGATGTCTTAGACTGGATTCCCTGGAAACAGAATGGAGTGGAGAACAGAGTTAAAAAATTTAGTGAGGAGAGTTCTTAGTAGATAAATCTGGAAGGAAGTGAGGGAAGAAACACTGGCTGGAGCAGAACGCTTTCCTGCAATTTGATTGCAACTGAGGTCCCAGCCAATCCTGGGAGTAATGAAATTGGGATGATTCTTCACAGAGTTGTCCCAACTTGAGGCAAGAGGGCTGGGTAATTCTATTCTTGCAGCAGTCAAGTGTTGGATACAGGTCACCCTTCTGGGAGGGACATAATCTTGGGTGAAGCAGTTATGATCGATAGCTGATATTCCCAACAGTGGGGGGTTGGATTAATTGACTGACCCTAAGGAGGGAATCTGGGTGAAGTACCACAGATCCACTACCACAAATAATGTAGGATTTTTCTTTTCTAGTTCTCCTTAATTTCCGTTTTCAGGCTCCATTGTTAGCATGACTTTCACTACCTCGGTGTTACTTTCAGGCTCATGGGAAATCGTGTCATACCTCAAGATGCACTGGGGAGAGCAGGGATATCCGAGGTTGTATTGGGTCGTCTGGATACATCATTTAGACACTTTACTCATTCTGCTCCTAGGCATGAGAAAACCTAAGCTTAAGCTTTGCCTCTTTCCCAGGGCATGCCTATGTTTGCTTCTGTTCTTGGATTTCCAAACATACTGGGTATTTATTTGGCCTCTCTATTTTTTCAGTCTGAAGAAATGTATGTAGCTCAATAGACCACTGATGGAGATGAAGGAAAGCAGGGGGTGTGACAGGATTGGGAAAAGTGGATTCTGACTGCAGATAACACAGTTTCTCCCCAACTAACTTTTATGACTTGAGTTCCCTCTGGACCTAGGTTTCTTTTTTTTCCCCCCAAAGGAACAAATTTCAGAAATTTAAAAGCCTTTTCTTTACTTTTCTGCTCTACCAACCTTTCCATGAGGCAACGAATACGTAGACTAAATGAATAAAAGGTGAAGAGTAAAAGAAATTCAGAAAAGAAAATCTTCGGTAACATCTCAAAATATTATCCTGCCACATTTACATCCAAGGATCCCAATAGGACCTGTGAATGAGATCAATGAAACTTTATAATAGTCTTTGATGGTTCAGGGAGAAGGAAAAAAAATCAATGATCAAAGTCAGAAAAAAGTCTCCATTTCTTTTTTAGTAGGAAGAAAGGGGATGCTGCAGACCATAGGCTGGTAACCTTAATGTTCCACATAGGGAAAATTCCAGACAAAACTCATCTCAGTTTTTTTTTTTTTCTTAGTTGGTCTTTGTTAGGCAAAGGCATTGAAATTAGGTACCACATTTGGACTCCAGAAAATAACAGTCTCCTGAGATATCACCATGCATAAGATGCAAAAATGGGGGTCAGAAAACAGGACTGGCCAATTTG